CCTTATAAACTATTATTTTTATGTATTATGTATTTAGCATTGGGAGAGTATTAAAAAAGGATCAATATTCAGTGAGGGACTCTGGACTAAGGAGAGATATAATCATGCTAGTGCTATTATCAATGGTGACTCTACCTCACCTGCACTAGTAGTGATTGGTGGACGGGATTATAACAATCAACTAGTGACTGAATGTTTATTATTATTTGATAATATCACTACTGGTCAGTTCAGTTGTAAGAAGGTATGTGTACATGTACATGTGTATGTTATTTATGTATAATTTAATATTGAGAATTGGAGGAGCCTCACCACATGATACTATAGTTAGTGATACAATATGTATTTACACGTATTTTGTACACATACATGTACATGTACATCACATGTACATATACATGTAATGTATATGTACATGTCATAATGTGTCAGTAATATTTCTCATTGTCTACAGATTCCTCTACCTGAATCTGTTACTGGTAGATACTTTCACTCACTCACAGCAGTCACAATGTCACCACACTGTGTGTGGATAGTAATTGTTGGAGGATATGAAGAGTTTGAATGGAAAGATGTTGGAGGAGGAGTGAAGGAGCCGATGTATACATTGATCACTGATACTGATAGACTAACAATGATAGTTGAATTAGGTAAAATAATAATTATTAAAATCACATTATAATGAGGATTATTACCAACTTCTTTTTAATTATTTATTAATAATAATTATTATTATTGTTCCTTATTTCAGTATATATTGAAGCTGGTGAGTGGATAGTACAGTCAGTACTGGATGGTAATGATCTCACTAGTAAGAAATATCAAGAAAAGTATTCATCATACAGCAAGACCAGAACATGGTGGATGGATCAGCTAATAGAAAATCCCACAGAGAAGGAAATGAAGCTTCAGAGATACATCCAGTCTTTACATGAAGAACTACAAGTGGCTCATCAGAACAAAGTATCACTACAGGAGGCATTGACTGAGGCCAATAAACAAGGTACATGTACATGTATGATGTGAATTTTAATGTAATGTATGTTATGTAATGTTATGTAATGGACTAATGTTTACATAATATTAGTTTACATAACTAATGTGATGTAATTTGGAGTGTAGAATTCTGGCAGAATGCTTCCATTAATATTTTGACAAACATTTGACCATCTGCAAATTACCCTGTACTACAGCCCATGGTTGTTCCAAAAATGGCAAAAAATCACCACCAATTTTTATTACATTTTCTGATGCATATTGATGTCCTTTTGCTATGTAGAAAGTTTGAGACAATTTTTGGACAAAAACTTTTTGCATTTTGGCTATTTTTAAAATGAGCCAATTCTGAAATTTTGCACTACACCAAATCACCCATTGTTAAAATTTTGATGAATGAAGCTTGATTTACTGAATACATGTACATGTACATGTACACTATACATGCATACAGTGGACTGATTTTTATACACGTTATACTGTACGTGTACATGTATACATGTATGATCATTTTTGTTATCTTTTCAGCTAAAGTTGATGATAGCAAAACTGTAAAGAGTGAGAAATTGGAAGAGGTGTTAAAAGCACAGGCACAGTTACAAGAAGAGAAACAGATTATTACTGGTTAGTGTATCATCAGTACATAATATTAGATGAGTCTATTAATGTAGAAGATAATGAGAAACTGAAAGCTAAAGTTGATGATTATGAAGTATATATAACTGAAATAGAACAAGAGAAGAGAAAAGCAGAAGAAGAGAAGAAACTAATTGAGGAAGAGAAGGAAAAAGTAGAGGAACAATATCTCAAGGAGAAACAGATCACTAAAGGTTAGAGTATTGTCATCAATGTGTATATTATATGAGAGAATATTTAGAACTGAAAACTAAAGTTGCTGATAATGAATTGTATACTGCCAGACTAATGAAGGAGAGGGAGCAATGGAGTCAAATCAAAGAGACTAGTACCATTGGATTACAATTTAACTACCTGATCCCTTCAATGGGTAAGAGTATTATTGACTGAGTGAGTGAGTGTATTTTATACAA